AGAGTTGCCATGTCCTAGTAAAATCGACTATTAGCCTAATAGTTATTAGTTTGATGCTGTTTCTCCTTCTGTTAATGCCATCATAATATCGCTAATCTTTCTGTTTGAATTAGCGTTGTGGTGTCAGAGGCATAAGGCTGTGCCAAAACATTTACATTTATTCATTTAGCAGACACTTTTATCCAAAGCGACTTACAAATGAGAACAATAGAAGCAGTTAAACTAACAGTAGGAAAACAATATACAAGAGCTATGACCCTTCCAGTTTAATCTAACGCAGTAGGATACATGTACATAGGCCTAAAGGATTATTAGGAACACCATACTAATACTGTGTTTGACCCCTTTCGCCTTCAGAACTGCCTTAATTCTACGTGGCATTGATTCAACAAGGTGCTGAAAGCATTCTTTAGAAATGTTGGCCCATATTGATAGGATAGCATTTTGCAGTTGATGGAGATTTGTGGGATGCACATCCAGGGCACGAAGCTCCCGTTCCACCACATCCCAAAGATGCTCTATTGGGTTGAGATCTGGTGACTGTGGGGGCCATTTTAGTACAGTGAACTCATTGTCATGTTCAAGAAACCAATTTGAAATGATTCGAGCTTTGTGACATGGTGCATTATCCTGCTGGAAGTAGCCATCAGAGGATGGGTACATGGTGGCCATAAAGTGATGGACATGGTCAGAAACAATGCTCAGGTAGGCCGTGGCATTTAAACGATGCCCAATTGGCACTAAGGGGCCTAAAGTGTGCCAAGAAAACATCCCCCACACCATTACACCACCACCACCAGCCTGCACAGTGGTAACAAGGCATGATGGATCCATGTTCTCATTCTGTTAACGCCAAATTCTGCCTCTACCATCTGAATGTCTCAACAGAAATCGAGACTCATCAGACCAGGCAACATTTTTCCAGTCTTCAACTGTCCAATTTTGGTGAGCTCTTGCAAATTGTAGCCTCTTTTTCCTATTTGTAGTGGAGATGAGTGGTACCCGGTGGGGTCTTCTGCTGTTGTAGCCCATCCGCCTCAAGGTTGTGCGTGTTGTGGCTTCACAAATGCTTTGCTGCATACCTCGGTTGTAACGAGTGGTTATTTCAGTCAAAGTTGCTCTTCTATCAGCTTGAATCAGTCGGCCCATTCTCCTCTGACCTCTAGCATCAACAAGGCATTTTCGCCCACAGGACTGCCGCATACTGGATGTTTTTCCCTGTTCACAGCATTCTTTGTAAACCCTAGAAATGGTCGTGCGTGAAAATCCCAGTAACTGAGCAGATTGTGAAATACTCAGACCGGCCCGTCTGGCACCAACAACCATGCCACGCTCAAAATTGCTTAAATCACCTTTCTTTCCCATTCTGACATTCAGTTTGGAGTTCAGGAGATTGTCTTGACCAGGACCACACCCCTAAATGCATTGAAGCAACTGCCATGTGATTGGTTGATTAGATAATTGCATTAATGAGAGATTGAACTGGTGTTCCTTTAGGTGAGTGTATAGACTACATATAAATAGAAGAGGAAGTTTTAGTAGCTATTACAGGATCAAGTGCTGCCGAAAAAGATGCGTCTTAAGCCGTTCAAAACTTCAAAATTGCGCTATATCACAGCTGCATAAGCATAACTGACTGTAATTGTTTTTTTTACCAGTCAATTTTTTAGACTCCGCCACTTTCTCTAGTGAAACTGAGCTTCAGACAGAGATCTTTCATTATACGGTATAAGTTATTTTATATAAGGTGGAAGGGCTCTCTTGTATACCATGCTCTCTCTCTGTTTATCAATGATAAAGCTATAAAGGGAATTAACTAAATATTTTTGGATTTCATTTGGTAAATTTTGGATTTTGTGAATCCAGTGTTGTTATGGTATTTGATTCCTAATAATATCTTCAACAAACTTGGTGGCCTGTCTTTCCTATTAAACTAAGTGCAACTTTTTGCCTGGCAAGTTACCCATTTCCTTATCTAACTTTCATCAGCAATGCCTTCTCTCGTGGAAATTGTGTCTTGTCCACAGCTTTCCCCCCATAAAGTTCTCCTTTGGAACAACGATATAACCGTTAGAAATAAGTCTCTCTTTTTCCGTAGATGGTTTAACAATAACTTTAATTGCATCCTATCTGTCTTTGATGATTTTGGTCATATTCTAACTTATAAGCGACTTTTGAATCTCGATAACTTTCCTGTTCCACCAAAGGAATATAATAACTTGATAAAAGCTTTACCAGCAGGCTTAATCCAATTAATTAAAAGCCGCCTTAGCTTCGCCTTCAGTAAAGGTAACAGTGTTTATACGGCATTACGCTTGGGTGGTATTGATTTTTTAGATCGAAAATACAACAACAGACATATTCGTACAATTTTTCAAATGAAAAGAAAGATTAGGGGTGAATTCTATTGGGAATCCTTTGTAACAAACGTAAACTGGAAAAAGGCCTGGCTTTTGCCTATATGTTGTGTATCCAACAAAGTTAAGGAAATTCATTATAAAATCCTTCATAAGATCTATCCTGTTAACTCTTCCATTTCTAAATATTCTGATATTGATGAAACTTGCTATGTGGTTTTGTTGAAGAAACAGCCGCCCATTTATTTTGTGACTGTAACCAATAGATTTTGGGCTAAATTAAGTTATTTTGTTTTTAGCCCTACAAATGTGACCCACACCTTCATTCTCAAAGAGGTTATCTTTTATCCAAAGTTGCTGTCCCTTGAATATATTGTTAACTTCTTTATCTTGTATGCAAAATTCTTCATCCACAAGCAAAAATGGCTTAAATCTCCTTTGAGCTTTCCTCTTTTTCTTGCTGAACTTTACTTTTTTATTTCATCCCTTAGACTTATAAATGATAAAACATATTTATTCAAACATATGACTTGACCTTATTATTATGCTTTTCTTTCTTTGTTGTGTATAATTACATAATTTGATGTATGCAAACCCAGGATATTTATTTTCTGATAGGCTACCATTGTTTGGTACAAAAAAACAAAAAACAAAACACTGAAGACAGCGCTTTCAACAGGAAGAAGTGACTTACTCCTCAGCAATAAATGATAGAATCATGAGACGTTTTTAGTAGTGATGGTAGAAATGAAGCTTTTCAAAGCTTCGAATCAATTGAACCAATTGCTTCGCAAAATGATTCACTGTTTAAAATCGTTTGAAACTCCACACGCGGGTGACCCCTGCTGGCCAGAACAGTGTAAATGCAACAAAAACTCAGGTCAAAGTGCATTAAAACGAGAAAAACACGTATTGCAAACACATAGAAAACGTTTTATTGGAAGTAAATATAAAATGCAATCAACTATAGTTAGTTAAATCAGCTAATACAATTAAATTTCAAGTCAAGTGTCTGTATACTATGTGTTCTTTTATCAATGTTCCATAGCTGGATCAGCTAAATAGGCCAATAATAGACTATTACTATTATCCCTTTTAATTACACTATGTCTAATTAAAACGTTTACAAATGTATCAAACTGATCAGATATTAGGTAAAACCATGAGTAAAAGATTCATGGGTTCACAGATTATCGCCCCCCAGCGGTGAACCATTGAAATTGACGTAACGAAGCCTCGTTTACTGAAATCACGTGACTTTGGTAGTTTGATACGCGCTCTGAACCACTGAATCGAAACAAAAGATTCATAAAGGTCTTGAAGCTTCATGAAGCAGTGTTTAAAAGTACAGTAATCTTAGACCTTAGATCTTTAGACCTGCCTAAATATAATAGGAAAACACCAGACTGGACTATGTATAGGCCTACGTTGTGGAGAAGTGGAAAATGTAAAACATAGGCCTACTCTTGACATGTAGAAAGTAGCCTAGGCCTACTCTGAAAAAAAGGAAAGAACTAGAGAGGGCAACGAAGAATGGATTGAGTTTAAAAAAACAATTGAGTTTGTATGGCACATTGACTCGTTCATTGACTCGTTTCTGAGTCGATCCTATTTGATTCATTTGGATTTTGAGACTTTCATTTCTGGCATGCCAGACCTACATCATAATAATTTTCGCTGCCGCTAGGGTGCGTCTAGATTTCTAGGCTAAAGTAAACTGACAGCCCAATGAGATTACACCTCAGTCCAGAAGATGGCGGTAATGCACCTCGTATGCAAACTGCAAAAAAAAAAAAAAAAAAAAACTACAGAAGAAGAAGAGGCAGTGTTTCGAAAACGCCCACTAGATTTTAGTGAGCCTGCTGACTGAGCCATAAATGGAAAGTAACCACTATAGGTTACTATTGAAATAACAAAAACGGCAGGCTATAGTTTATTTCAGACTGGCGCCATCAAGCTCCTTATTCGGATTAACCTCGCAAACACGACGGTTGTTCCTCGAACGTGATAATCGTCTCCGATATATAAAAAAAACAAAATGTTTTCTGAGGACACTTCTGCACGTGGCGTTGGTGATGTGAGAGAGCCCAACTGGATACTTCATAGAAATCCCCGTGCGACATATTTAATTGTCTGTGGTTGATATATTAATGTTTAATGTTTTGTATTAAGTTTGATTTGATCTGTGAGAAAATGTTCCTAGCTGATTCCATGTCATGAATTTAATTTATGCTGTCTGCTAAGCGTAGGCTAGCTAAGTGTAAAAAAAAATACTTCACACTACTGTATTGTTTACATTTTGCGTAAAACATTTGATTTAAAATTTTTGTTAACAGTTGTACATAGAGAAATTTATGTAACTTTAAATTATTAAAACGCCTTATGTTTAAACGCCTTATGTTTAAATTAATCAATGTTATTTGTATTTGTACAAAGTTCTGTTTTTAAAGTTATTAAAGTATTGCAAATATTATGTACAATAAATGTTCATTTCGTCTCATTTAAATTCGACACGGATATGGTAAAGTGCTACACAGCATAGGCCAGTCCCAGTCAGCTGGGTGTGGGCGGATAACGTTACTGTGTGCACCGAGGACGAAGCAGCAAGTAAACAGCATTTTAGAGCAATAGGGTAACGTTATAGTACTGTTTGAAAGTTGCCTACAGATTCGGTTGGTCATGATGGCAACCTGGTATGTTTGTCTGAATATTTTATTTGCATAATCTGTTTTCCCGGAAGCTAAGGGAAATGGTAATGCTAAAAAAAACTTGCAAACAGGTCAATGCGTTTTGAATAATGCATACCTGCCAACTTTTGAGTTTTGCTCGGCGTGAGATTTGTTGACGGGGGGGGGGGGGGGGGTGGTAGAGACGAGTGAGATTTGTTGACGGGGGGGGGGGGGTGTTAGAGACGAGTGAGATTTGTTGATGACGGGGGGGGGGGGCGGTCTCGCTCGCGCAAGGTCTCTCGCTCGCTCTACGCGGTTTGGAGCACAATCTCTGTCTCGCATGCTCGCTCTAGATAACGGGAGATTTTTAACGAATTTGCGGTATAACTAGTCGATCACGAGTGGCTCAACAGGTAGATATATAGATACACTCATCTTCCAGGCATTTGACCGCCCGGGTTGACACTTCAGCGTGAGAAATCGGGAGTGTGGCGTGTGAAACCGATCAAATGCGAGTGTCTCACGGCCAATGCGTGAGAGTTGGCAGCTATGATAATGCATCGTTGGAATAAGGAAACTACTGTTGCAATATTTGTGTTAGGTTATGTAATAGCCTTTTTATGTATAAAATACCACCAAACATCGGATAAAACTGGGCTCTCTTAAAACTAATAAAATGCGTCATCAAGGCCTAGTTGACAAGTTGTTTTCGTGGTGGGTGTTTCTTTGCACCTTTTAACATTAGACTTGATGAAGCTGCGATAACGGATCTTTTGTTCATTTTTTTGCCCGACTGCCACATCTACCAAGCATCGCTACGTCACCATAACATTAGTGTTTTACAGTCTATGTTTTTAACCTATTCTGGGTCAGTGTTAGGGAATATGGGTTGAAATGGGTGGTTTATTCGTTTTCTAATCCGATCGACAGGACATGTAAACTAAACGTATGACGCGCGGAACGACCTTGTCCTTGGGATTTTTTTTTTGCAGTTCAACTGTGAAGCTGCAATGCTGCTCGATCTGCTGTCTATGGGATGATTATAGTATCAAAATGATTAACACGTGCAAGCACACTTATCAATGAACTTGATACATGTTGCAGAAATGTTTTATCCATGCCTTTCAACTTGCGTGTGCAAAATTGAATGAATGTGAAGCAATTTGTACAAATAGAGACATTTTTGTGAATACAAATGTTTTCCTTTGTATTAGTGTATCATAATTTGCACATGCAACACAGAAGATGTGCAGGTGTGTGGATCAGGTGACACGCGTGCCTTCATTGACTTCTTTTCTTTGTCGATCTCATTTGATTCATTTGGATTTTGAGACTTTTTTTTCGCGGTTTTTAAGCATTTCACAACCCACACACAAACAACTTCAAATGAATAGGCCTGGTGCTAATTATTAATGTGTGCACAACTACCCATCTATTTGACAAATTCACAAATGTGCGTCACTACATTTAAACTAATACAATACAACTTGTGTGTGCAAAATCCCAAATCACATGAATGTGCAGCCTTTTGTACAAATAGAGACATAGTTGTTAATACAAAACCTCGATTTTGTATTAATGTAGGCCAGAATTTCTGCATGCAACAAGTAAGATGTGCAGTTGTGGATCAGGTCAGGTGACACGCGTGCATTCATTGACTCGTTTCTGAGTCGATCCTATTTGATTCATTTGGATTTTGAGACTTTCATTTCGCGGGTTTCGCCTTGCACGATCCACACACAGCTGTCTGAGAAAACCTGCTACCACTAGATGGCAGTATTCTGCTAAAACAGACAAGGCAGCATAATCAAGCGTTCTTCCGCATTTAAGACGCTTAATGAGAGTGATATTGAAGCACCAAATTTAGTACACAATAATATAGGCCTACCCTATTAATAAAGCATACTTTATAGAGGCAAACATTAAATCAGATTATGAACAACACCCAGAGAAAACCATAATAAAACGCTTAACGTGCAATCGCGCGTTTCATGTTCAGTAGGCCTAAGGTGTATCGGCTACTGAGTTTAAATATCGCTTGATTATGCTGCCGTTGTCTGTTTTAGCAGAATACTGCCATCTAGTAACAGGTTTTCTCAGACAGCTGTGTGTGGATCGTGCAAGGCGAAACCCGCGAAATGAAAGTCTCAAAATCCAAATGAATCAAATAGGATCGACTCAGAAACGAGTCAATGAATGCACGCGTGTCACCTGATCCACAAATGCACATCTTACTTGTTGCATGCAGAAATTCTGGCCTACATTAATACAAAATCGAGGTTTTGTATTAACAACTATGTCTCTATTTGTACAAAATGCTGCACATTCATGTGATTTGGGATTTTGCACACACAAGTTGTATTGTACATTAATAATTAGCACCAGGCCTATTCATTTGTAGTTGTTTGTGTGTGGGTTGTGAAATGCTTAAAAACCGCGAAAAGAAAGTCTCAAAATCCAAATGAATCAAATGAGATCGACAAAGAAAAGACGTCAATGAATGCACGCGTGTCACCTGATCCACACATGCACATCTTCTGTGTTGCATGTGCAAATTATGATACACTAATACAAAGGAAAACATTTGTATTCACAAAAATGTCTCTATTTGTACAAATTGCTTCACATTCATTTAATTTTTAATTTTGCACACGCAAGTTGAAAGGCATGGATAAAACATTTCTGCAACATGTATCAAGTTCATTGATAAGTGTGCTTGGACATGTTAATCATTTTGATACTATAATCATCCCATAGCTGTCTGCTCTGCTGTGTATGTGCGCGTCGCAGAACCGCCCACAAGGCAGCCTCTCGGGAATTACGTCACGCAACAAAGTAGCCCACCGTAGTGTGTGTAAAGGCAAGCGCCAATCAATTTAATGTACACGCTTAATGGGCCCTGAAAAACAGTGAAAACGGACATTTTCATGAATTTATAACAACCCCCCTTGAGTGGCAAAAGAGGACGTTTGGTCGCCCAAGTAAAAAAATCAATTCCGATTTAAAGATAAACGCGCACATACACGATCACTTTATTTAGTTCTCATGTAGCCTAAACACTTGTTCGGAAACAAAGGTGTGCATATAAACATAGCTATGGTTTGTATATTTCTAAACCTCGCCTTCTGCTTGCAGATTCTCACTCTTGCGCTCTCCATCTCTACCTCTAAACTTTGTCTGTTCTGCTCTTATCCGATTCTGGCAGTGTCGTGGAACTGCTCGCGCATGTGCAGTACGATAGGAAAGTTCCACTATTCATGATCGGGGGCCCACATTCGAGCAGATGAATTAATAACGTTAAAATCTTAATGGTTAAAGATGGGCCATACAATATAGAACAGTAATAATTAATATATGATTTATATAGGCTTCTTGGTATTTGTCGGGGGTCCCCTAATTCCTCTGGGCCCTAAGCGGCTTTTTACAGCGCTTATTGGTTAAGTCTGCCCGATGACTTACTTTTTACAGTGCATTAAATGACAATAAAAATGGCTCTTATAACAAGTATGCCAGTATAAACATTAGGACTATATGAATTAGGGGCCACGCCCTGAAAGGGCTTAAGTCCCTATACGCTGATTTCACGCAGCCGCCATTTTGAAATCAAAAGCGAGGCTCCGGTGGGAAGAACCCCCGGAAGTACAGATAGACAACAGTGCCTTGGACTACCAACCTAAAGCTGCTGCCGCGATTTACACTATTGGATGTTAATATCCAATATAGGATATGTATATAGTTCGTTCCTGCTTCTTTTTTTACGTTCTGAATTATATATAAAAAAATAATTTTATTTATAAATGAATTTCACTGTATATAGTCTAAATGAAAGAAATGTATGTACATTTTTAGAATAACTAATTTCTACATTAAACACAACACAACAATACGCCATCGCATTCACTACTCCCCTATGATTAAAGCTTAGAAGAACTCGATATTGCAACAGAAACTTTTAACTCTCTCTTTTCCAGCACTTTAGACGTAGTTGCTCCGTTGCGCTTAAAGAAGATTAAAGAAAATAGTCCAACGCCGTGGTACAGCGAGCACACCCAGGCCCTTAAGAGAGCAGCCAGAAAAATGGAGCGCAACTGGAAGAAAACTAAACTAGAGGTATTTCAGATTTCATGGAAAGAGAGCTCGATTGCTTACAGAGAGGCCTTAAAAGCTGCTAGATCTGCTTATTTTTCAACCCTATTAGAAGAAAATAACATAATCCTAGGTATTTATTTGAAACAGTGGCTAAACTAACGAAAAAGAAAGCTTGAAGCTCAGAAGTGTCCAAGCAACACAGCAGTAATGACTTTATGAACTTCTTCACTTATAAGATCGATATCAGGGACAAAATTATAACTATGCAACCGTCTACCACAGTATCGCATCAGGCAGTGCATTGTAGTCTCCATGAGGAAAAATTTGATTCATTTGTTGCCATAGAAGGGGACGAATTTTCTAAACTCGTTAATTCATCTAAATTGTCAACTTGTATGTTAGACCCTATACCGACTAAGCTACTGAAAGAGATGCTTCCAGAGGTCATATATCCTCTTCTTAATATCATTAATTCATCTTTGTCTCTAGGATACGTACCAAAAACCTTTAAGCTGGCTATGATAAAACCGCTTGTTAAAAAAACGCAACTTGATCATACAAAATTAGTCAATTACAGGCCGATCTCGAATCTTCCTTTTCTATCAAAGATATTAGAAAAAGCAGTATCCTCACAACTGTGCTCCTTTCTAGAAAGAAATTATATCTGTGAGGATTTTCAGTCAGGCTTCAGACCGTACCATAGTACCGAGACAGCTCTCATCAGTCACAAATGATTTGCTCTTATCATCCGATCGCGGTTGTATCTCTCTATTAGTGTTACTTGATCTTAGTGCTGCATTTGATACTATTGACCACAACATTCTTTTAAATAGACTCGAAAATTATGTTGGCATTAGTGGAATTGCATTAGCATGGTTTAAATCATACTTATCTGACCGTTATCAGTTTGTAGCAGTAAATGAAGAGATGTTTTA